TATATGAGAACAGGTACTTTCTTTAGTTCATGCACTGCACATGCGATTCTCGAGGTTACTGGAAACCAAAAGTTGCGGGAAACTTGCTTTGCCTTTCTAAAAAGACAATCAAATTGGAGCTGCGAAAATTGGCTCTATGCCAGCTGCCCGAATGACACTCACGTGATACACAATTCGCCAAAAAAGTGATCTCTTCCGACGTCGGCGCAAAACTCGCCTTTTTTGGCGGGATCGTTGTATGAAATTCCCTGACTTTTCCAGATTTTGACTAAAACACTTAAATTCCCTGACTTTTTCCGGTTTTCTCGGTAGAGTGGCAAACCTGTTTTAAGAACAATATAGAAGTTAATCTGGTAATAATATACTATAGAATCTAACACTTTTAGTTACACAACACCTACAAAATTGGTTGTTGTTTCAATTATTTCTTTTTCTTTCCATTTTATCATATCTTCGAACAGGAAAGCTGCTGAAATTTTTATTTTATGAAGCAATTACTACTGAATTATGAAGCTACTGAAATTTGATGGAAATAAAAATTCAATTTTTATTAAATTAATTAATGGAATAATTTTCATTAAACTATTCTTACTTATCAGTATTTATTTTCAACATTATAATGGTGCCACCTAAGGAAAAATGAATAACTAAAACGGTAGATCACATACTACATCACTTCTATTTGTTTTATTAATGTGCAACTTTTATTTTTAAAAAACTTCCACTGCTGAGTGAAAAGAAACTTATTTTTAAAAATATGTTTGTTTACATATTAACACAATGATGGATACGGCAGAGACGTTGAACATCTAACATTTTTACTGATATGATGTACAATTATAGAACATAAAATGTACAATTATGTACAATTATAAAACATTATAAAGCAGGAATTAAGTGAAATCTCCACAAATGCAGAATTAAGACACAAAATTGATTGACTATTTCTTCGATAAAGTGGACATTACAAATACAATGATCTACTAATTTTAAAGCATACATTAATACAGCCACCTATAAAAGTGACATGCATCCTCTGCATATATATTTAGTTAATGATATTTAGCTTTAAATAGAGTAATTCTTTTATTAACTGTAGTAGTAGTGATACATATGCATGGCAAATTAAGAGAATTTGCACTTTATATGAATTTTTGAAAAACTGATGGAAAGATTTTTAATGAAATTTGTTATGAATATTCATTTATAACAGAGAAAGAAATGTGCCATTCAAAAGTCATTTTATGTGCATATGATTATCAGTAAAGCTCACAGTGCAGGGATGTCCAAAATCCATGTTGTGATTTCAAACTGAAATGAACTAATATAAGGTATTCACTTTTATAGCTCTCTCATAGCCAGACAAATTGTGCAGTGTGATGGCATACTGGACAAGAGGCAGTTCAGAAGTTCCTTGGCAGTGGATCCCACTCCTGAAGCAAGGTAGTTTTTAACTCTAGGATGTTTCTTGAATGAAAATGGTAAGAGGAAATTGTCCTTCCAAGAGCATCTCAAACATGCTCCCCAGGTCAAGAGACCTGGCTGGCCAATCCATGTGGTGAATATCCTCACTTCCCAGGTTACAAACTAAACTTTGTAATCCATTAACAGGAATCTAAAACCAACTGTATACCTGAAAAGTTCAACATAGGGCTGTACAATCTCCTCTCTATATGGCATAGCAGTCAGGGAGCCTTTGTCAACACCTGAAGGGGGTGTGAAGTTGTCCAACATAATGCCTACTCAAATCCTTTCCCTGATGAGGGAGGGATGGTATCATGTTCTAAACTCTCTCCAGATACAGATCCGCCAAGAATCAGTGCCCAGGATGAATATCGATTAATCTGTAAAAAAGCACAGTGTTTTACTGAAGTCTGGTCCCAGATGCATGTTGTCTGCATCATGCTAAATACTCTCTCTTGTGTGCTGCAATGAAAGGGACACAAACAGCAGGTCTTCAGGTATACAGCCCTATCTCATGAAGCCTTTGGGTAAATGTAAGTGGTGAAGGAGTACAGTGGCAGCATACAGTTCACAATACAGTCCAGAGCTGTGAGTTGCAGTCTCGTGTTGCCATGCTGAAAATGCAAAATAACAATCCTCATTCGTCATTGTGAATCTTGGTTGATCCTATCCAGGTCTTCTTGATATGGATCCAGTATCTTGAAATTGTTTCCGCAAATTACAGAACTCATTGAGCATAACTTTAAGCTCTGTAGCCACCTGCATTTGAGATTGGCTTCCCTCCAATCTACAAAACAATTCTCCATCTTATTCTGTCATCCATGCATTCATAGCTCCTCACATTACCTGACACCTTATAAAATTTACCCAACTCTTGGGAGAAACATGGTAAATGTCTTGAAGGAGTATGAACACACAAATTGCCGAAAATCTCTCATGTGCTTATATCTCCTTCATAATTACAACTCTGCAGACACACATGTGTACACTTATGTATTTGACTTAAAATAATTGCTTAATTCTTTGGCAGAATAATTAGTAGCTTTGGCTCAATACCTTTATAAAAACTAGATAAATTAGCAAATTCTCTTAATTGCATGAGTATAATACAGGATGTTTATAAATGAATAGTGTGGTTTTAAAATTAGTAATAAATCAATTTAATACCTTACCCATGGTAAAACCTAAACCGTAAGCAATGGCAATTGTCCAAGTTTCTAATGTGCTACCTGCTGTTTGCTTGTCATGATTACTGCACAGCCACAGCATCAGTTTCTAATATGATGTTGCAACAGGAAAAGGCCTTTCTGTGTCCTCTGTTTTGAAGTGTCCAGATCTGTGGTTATAGTGCAGTGTGAGTTTTGTGCTCAGTTTAGGAAAGACCCACAAGACAAGAATAACATAAGTAGGTGGTACTGACAGTTCATGAAAACTGAATGCCTTTGTAAAGGCACCCATCCTTTGTCCTGGCTGACTTCATATATCTGATGCAAAAACTGAAAGAATGCAAGAGGCATTTCAGTGAAGTCCTTGCAAGTCAGTAAAGCAAGCAGAAAATTGGGCATGCCAAAGAATCAGATGTAAAAGGTGTTGCATAAGCAGCTGTGTCTTGAACCCTACAAAGTAAGGCATGATTTTTGTGAAGAGATGCATTTAAAAATGGAGGAAGATCGTTTTGCAGAAAGACTCATCTTCTGCGATGAAGCTACTTTCCATGTAAGTGGCAAGGTGAACAAACACAATAACCATAGCCGGGAAAGTGAGAAACCACATACACAGATAAAGCATCAGCGTGACTTTCCAAAAGTGAACATTCTGACTGGTGTCCTGCGAGAAGGTGCACAGCCCATTTTTCTTCAAACAAACTCTGACTAGTGACACATTTCTAAACATGTTGGGAACCTGGTTGTTACCAAAGCTGAACACCAATTATGATGATTACATTTTGCAATTGGACGATGCCCTGCCCCATTTTCACAGGAATGTATGAGGGCTTTTTAATCACGTTGTTGGTGAACAATCCCGTGTTGGTGAACAACACGGGATTGGATATGTTACAACAGCAGACAACAACGTTCTCCCCTGGCCCTCTTTTTCACCATATTTAACACCATTTTTTTATTACGGGTTTATCAAAAACCTTGTTTATGTACCATCAATATCCATGTCCCTTGACGAAGCTTGTAATCAGATAAAACATGCACTGCAGACCATCCCCGCAGACATGCTACACCAAGTGTGGCAAGAATGCCGTAAGGTTTGTTCATATGAAATAATGCACTGATTGATTACTAAATTTTAAAATTGCACCATTCATTCATAAACACCCTGTAATATAAATCCAATACACCTCCTTGCATAAAGAGCTAATAAGAACTAAAATTATAGACATGTAGAAATTTATTTAATTAGCATAAAAAAAATTCACAGGACACTAACTAACCTCTTTTGCCCAAATAAACTACAGTCAAAAGCCTTAATCCAGACTTGTCGGGACTTCAACGATTCCGGATTATCGGTTTTTCCGGGTTATAGATCATTAGTTTAAATCTGGTAATATGGCATGCAGAAATTATAAAATTAAAAATATGAAACCGTAATTTACAAAATAAAGAGTAATTATGATCTAAAGGGTATCAAAATTTACAAAAAAAAAGTTTAATATTTATTTGCTTACTTTATTAAACATTTCTTTCAATGCGCGCATGCGCAAAGCACACATTACGCATAGTCGAAATTAGAAAATTGCAACCAGAAAACTATTTGATGTGTATTCATGATATTTATAATGGCGAGGAAATCGATTTAAATTATATTGGAGTACATCGAGGTGAAAACTACATTTAGTGGGGAATTATAAGCCGAATAAAATAAAAACATCTGCCCTGAAGTTGAGGATAGTGCTGACAGATCAACTTCCAGTTCATTGCGCGTCGCGACGTTTCCCACCCTCTTCCGCAGAGCAGCGTGAAATTGATAAACAGATTTCGGAATGGTTAGAGAAACAAATCACCTCTCTGTCACTTTCTTCATGCCTTTATCCTTTTTTTGCAGCAGTTCCACTTTTTTTTAATGGACATCGAAACATGCTTTCGCTTTGCAGCTCCAGCATCGGAAATTCTATTTGACATAATCGAAAGTTTAAGCTTACTTTTATAAAATTGCTCTAACAGTCTGCAAAAAATAATCAGCCGGATCCAATTCGAAGATTAAGGAACAATGCAATCTGCAACATTAACTGAAATAGATAATTAGATAATTTTAGCTTAGCTTATACCGTCCGTTATACATTAAACGCGCATGCGTAAACGTATCATGCGCATGCCTAAAGGACAGTACGCGCATCGTTCACGCATTATGCGTTGACGAATGCGCGAAAGTTTGTAGCTTTGAGGTCCGGGTTATAGATCATTCCGGATTATGGGTGTCCGGATTAATGACTTTTAACTGTATAAATTGATGATAATAATCTACTAGTTTTGAATGAAAGAATACTATTTTATAAATTCAAATAGTAATAATAATAATAACAAAACCTTTTCAATTGTATCCAATAGAGAAGAAGCAATATATGACCAAATTTCAAGAAGCATTTCAGTATCTGAGCAATTGATTAGTGAAGCTTTTGTGATGTGGATAAATTTTTCTGTGACTAGCAAAGGCGAAAGAGATTCACTAATACTGGCTTGAACAAGGCGATTAAACGTGGATAACCTGAAATATATAAAAAGCTCAAATTTTCTGATACCTGATTTTTTTCCCTTTATCAATTTTACTTAAAAAAAATCAAAATTTCAAAGTAAATAAATAACAATAAAAGAAAAAAGCTTTATAGGAACCTTAATGTTAAAAAAATAAAAATATCTCTTAATTAAAAGAATTAAAATATCTAAGTTATAGTGAGTACAAATAGCAATGCCTGATTTTAAAATACATTCTTTCAAAATACAGTTATCATTCATTTCAAATAGAAAGCAATCATATATTTATATGAATAACTCGGTAACTCTCAAAATTATGTTAAGTGTTAAAATTTGCAAACCTGCAAAAGGTTGCCTTCTGAGTATGTGCACTCCCAAATGAATCATGTTTATGACATATTTTCAACTATACATGAGACAATAGCCAACCTGAGCAGCATGCATATACTATGCATGTCTTTGAGTACACCTTGATTGATGTTTTATATTTAATCGGTGTTTTGCTGCACTTTTCAAAAACAGAATTTTTGATGATTATAACTAATTGTAATGGGAGCCTGGAATTTTATGAATTATGCAAAAATGCTCATTTTTAGGACTATTTATGAAGAGAATAGAACATGCACCATTAAAATAGCCTAACAAAAGTTTTTAAAAATTCACAGGCGCTAATAAGTTGATGAATTTTCAGGTGGTGCAGATAATCAGATGGTATCCTTACAAATTTTAATTTATAGTTACTTTTATTTTTAACCCAAAACATTAACATACCTCTTAGATTTTTCACTACTAAGTAAATAAGGATTCAGAAGCATCTTCAACAATGTAATACTCAATATATCCTGAATTAAAAGAAAAGAATGATTAAAATTGAATATTAGTATTTGATTAGAAAATAATTCATATTGTAAAATGCTTGTTCCACCTATAAAACAAATAAATAAAATTAAAAAAAATATTAAAAAACAATTAAAAAACATAATTAAAAACATTAAGTCAAGCAAAATAAAGCACTAAAGTATAAAACATGAAAATACTGCAAAAGGTACATTCCAATATGAATTCAGAATAAGAAAATAAGTTAGACTGGCATATATTTCATTATTTTTTCTAAATACTGTTTTATTTTTACATAAATTGTATTATTCAATTATATATATTTAATTAATTTTAAATGCAGTAATAGATTTTTTTGGAGGAGGGGGGGTTGTGGGCTTTCGATTTTCATTTCAATACTATTTAGCAAATGCAGCCACAAAAAATAAGAGTGGGCGGAAGGAAGCCTTCCATTAATAAATGTTAAATAGCATTTTCTCTTATTAACTATTATACATTTACCTTACATTAATATGTAATAGTATTTTAGTTAAATCAGTGATCTTAAATTTCATGCAAGACGAATGCAGGATAGGGTAATAAAAAGCATCTGATAGGGTGGAATTATTTTCCCTGTGAATAAAATGAGAATTACATATATATACACACATATATATGGTGTCTCAAAAATGTCATTGCCAAACTTAACATGCTGGTCTGTGAGGCTTATGGAAGAGCGAGAAGTGTGATAATTCCAGGCGAGTACATTGCAGGAGAAGAATGAATCATTTTTACTAATTTAGTTCTTTATGAACATTTTACGGTAAAAGTGTTGCCAGAGCTCATGGTTGATGTTTCAGTATGATGCAGCATCTGCACATTTTAGCAGCAATGTGTGGGAATACCTCAAAAGGACATATCCTCATTCCTGGATTGGGAAAAGGAGACCAGTCACATGGCCACCGTGATCTCTCGACCTGACTCTCCTGGATTTCTACCTCTAGGGATACATGAAGTCCATGGTGTACAAGATGACCATAACATCGGACATGTATCTAATCCCAAGGATCTTGGAAGCGGCGGCACGTGTCTGTGACACATTTGCCCATTGCCCCCGCCGTTTGCATTTTCGGACCCAAGTTCTTATGTAAATCTTGTTTGTCATGGTATGCCAGACTAGCATGTTAAGTTTGGCAATGGCCCTTTCAGACACCTTGTATATGTGTATGTGTGTGAACATATACTGCTGGCCATTAAAATTGCATGGCACGGAAGGAGAGTAAATAGCAGAATCTTATTTATTGTATAAATGCAGTATAATGGGAGGAAGACATGATTAAATTGGTAGGGTATACAGAGCTGCCACCATGGGTAGCAATAATAGTTGTAATCTGGCTGGACATAAAGTTGAATTGAACTTGGATGACAGATATGGGGGTACTTTATTCGATGTTGCTTCAGTTCTATGCCACAATTCATCAGATGTAGTGGTTGACGAGCGATGGCATGCAATATCTCAGCAATCTATAACCAGACGTTTTCAAAGGATAAGAAATCTGGAGAATTGCAGGCTAAGGCATCAGTCAAACCCCTTCTGTATCAAGAAAAGTCATGACAGCACAGGCAACAGAGGTGGTAACAGCAGTGGAGCATTATCTTGCTGAAAGATGGCATGTAAGCCTCAAAGATAGCACACAGCCCTCTGGCCTTAACACGTCAGAAATGTTATGGTGGCAATTTATATTACTGGCTATGCAAGCAAGAAGTAATCGGGTGAAACTAATGATACTCTGCACAAGCATGTCAGGTGCTGGGCCTATTTGATGATGATGAATACAAGCTGGCAAAGATCATTTTTCTCAGTACCTCCACTTATGGATACATCCATTATGATGCTGTACACAGTACTAGGATTAGTCTAAAAAAAGTTCATGTAGTGCTACTCTTGTGTCCAGTGTTGTCACTCATGACACCACAGTATGTGTGCCTATCTCTGGTGTAGCGTCAAGGGAAGCCTTAACAATGGTTGCTGTGCTGACAGTCTGCAGTGCTGCAGACATCACAATGTCTGTATGAAAACTTATTACCTTGCACATAAGCCAAGTTCCTGACTCAGGGTACGTTACACAGCTGCAAAGGTCGAGAGAATAACATGTCCTCTCAAGTATTAGTGACCTGGGGCCACTGAGACCCTACATGGTGTTCAGTACGACTCCCTCCTGGATGCATCAATTCAATAATCACCTGACAATCTTGAATTCTGACCAACATGAGCAGTAATGTCACGGAAAAATAAATTGCAGTCTTGATAAGCCACTGTCGAATTCCCACAAATGATGGTAGGAGTTTTCGCTTCTCACATAATGCATAACATAACCTGTAACAACCAATTTCCAAATGAGAAACCTACTGAGCAATTTCCCCATTTGTTCACATCATTGCTTCATCTGCATGTACTGGAATGCTAATCATTTGTACATCCCAATATGTAGTACCTTTCATGCAAACTGGACATTTATTGCATGCAAACTTTATGCTGTACCAATTTTAATGGATTGTATATATATATATATATATAGATAAAAATTTATTACGATAAATCATTTCTGCATACTCACTTTTAGTTTTTTTGAACAATGCAACAAATTCTCAATGATTCAAAGCTCGTCCTTTACTATTTCCATAACATTATGCACATGCAGATTTTCGGCACAAAGCACTTCTTGATGAACAATGCAACATATAGTAAAAAAGCATTCTGAAAGTTTTCGTTTTTTACTACATTTCTGAAGTTTACTGCTACTCATTTTTATTAACCATAGAAGCAGCACAATCACTTGCAAATTCAACATTTTCTTCTAACTGTACTTATACAGTTGTAATTTTAAAAAAAATCCAGTGTACTAAATTTAAATTTTTCTTTCATAAGAAATATTTTCAGATATTCCTACATTATTTGAAATTTATCAGTAACACCTCATACAAAAAGGAAACTTATGCCTTATCTGTAATGTCAGTACTCTCATCAACGGCTACTGAGAATGCTGCAAAATCTATACTTTTTTTCTTGTAACTGACATTATAAATCAAAAATGATTTCGTTAATACATTCCTCTACTAGATTGGCTGACAAATCAATATTTTTTAACGATTGTTATTTGCCAGGACAAAGAAGTTCAGAAGAAGCAATAAAACAAGCAAAAAAAAAAAAAAAAAGGTGAGACGTAAATAGTAAGTGTCAGCAAAAAAAGTTTAAAAGTTTAAGTTTTTACACTCATGCTATGGTGGGCACATACACATATTGTGCAGCAAAGATGAATATTGCCACTCACTGCAATGAGGATTTCCAATGTAATCTGTATGAAAGTAAACTTGCACAAGTTGTTGCTTCATAAGATTTACTTACTTCTGCAAAATATTTTGTTGTTGTAAACCAGATTTCAGAAACCACAATTTTTCTTTCCTAAATTTGTCTCCTAACATTTAAAATTCTTCCTTATGATTTGATATTTTGGAATGGATATTCCATTATTATAAGTACAGCATAACTTTATTGTGCCTGACTATACAAAAGTACATTCTTTGGGGGCCAAATGTGGCCTGCAGTCCACCAGTTTGAGACCACTGAATTAAATAAATCAATGTATAACAGTATGTTAATTAAATAATTTTAAATAATGCATATAAAATTTATTTAAAATGTCCTGCAAAAAAAGAAATAATGAAAAATATGTAAATTAGCTCAGTAATCTTGTTTTATTAGTTCCCTTTCATTGAATGTATAGTTTTTATACCACATTACATAGCTATGAGCAATATATATTTAATTTTTGCAAAATAGATTATCAAACTATAACTATGATTAACAATTTAAACCTATGATTTTACACTCCCCTCTCAAGATATAACTCTATAAAGAGATAATAAACTAGTCATACAAAATAGTCAGAAGAGTAAATGTGCAAGATTATACCAAAAGCTTAGCTATTTCAGCATAACTGCTGTCATGTATGTGGACATATTTCTGCAGAACACAGATCTATCATTTGCAAAACTTAAGTGTTTAGATGATCCTAGATATTGGAATCTCCAGTTCTATACTATTTTCTTCTATGACACCAATTTCTGATGTGTACTGAAAATCAATACCTTGCTCAAAGGAAAAGCTATAAATAGTGAAATGAATGTCATTGGGAATTATATCAAAAGACTATTAACTAATTATACAAAATGCATACCATACATAGTTAGACTGAAAACTAAACTAGTTGATATATTTCAATATAACTGGTATCACACAAATTAATGCATTTCTTCAGAAAAAAGATCTATTTCTTATAAAATTAAGAACTAACATGATTCTATCCATTCAAACCTCCTCAAAGCCTTTGCTTTGAATTCCACATTATCTTCTTGTGTGGCACTAACAGATTTCTGGCATTTACTGAAAATTAAGACTCCTGCACAACTTAAAACATGTTCAAACATGTTGTACAACATTTAGGAATAGAGGTTTTCAGAGGAACTACATGATCTCAGATTGAAAACAAGTGATTCTGAATTTCGGTGCAAAGGTAAGGTACTATTTCTCACATGGAAAGATAAACAAGATGTTCGAATAATATCCACTGTACACAATACTGATATCTCATCGAGACTGGAAAAATATATAAAAGTATTCAACAGTAAGTTTGTAAGCCTGAAGACATAATGAAATAAAACCAACATATGAAAGGTGCTGATCTTGCTGCTTAATACCTTTCATATTATTCATTTTTGTGAAAATCTATCAAATGGGCAAAAAGAGTTTTTACGCTTATTTTATGCTGCACACTCTTCAATTCATTTATTTTGTATCATAAACTCAGTCTTAATACCAAAATAACTTTTTCAAAATTCTTGCAAACTCTGGCAGAAGAATGAATTTATTTTCCTACTGAATATCATGATCCCTAAAAATAACAAATAGTAGCTCAACAGCAGTGGGCCCAGCACCTCATTATGATCCTCCTTATAGACTTTTA